TTTAAAATTATTAAAATAATTGAAAAATTGTTTTTTCTTTGGATAGCCTTAATATTGATTTTTGAACTCTTAAAATTCTGAATATGATGACCAGATTGTCAGTATTTGGAAGCAGGTGAACAAATGAATAGGTGGGTAAGAAAACAGAGGACCAAGAGAAGCAGCATAGAGCATTTTGTGTACTCCTTGCCGAGCCTGAATTACTAGTGTCCATCTCCAAAAATAAATGTGTGGGGTTTTAACCTTTTCACTTCTGTGAATGTCACCCCTCTCTTCAGGCTGGCAGAGTTAACAAGCTGTGCAAACTCCAGCTGGGACAGAAAACAGCTGCCCTCTTTCTCAGGGCTTTATCTGTTGTGAACTCATCTGTGCTCACACCTTCCAGCATCTTGTAGTCAGCTTCTGATGGCTTCTGAAGTCTTTGATTCTATTTTCACAAAGCAAGGAATAAACCAAGTTCCAGATAAACAAAAGATCAGGATGTCACATCAGTCTGTGATCTCCCATAATAACTGCATTCCAGATCACAGAGATCAAGTGTATGAAACCTGGAGAAAAGCCTTCTTGGCTGACAGATCTAACGTCAGAAAACCCTGCCTTAGACAAACAGAGAAGTTGTTTTTCTGGACATCTTCAGCAGATGTCAGGAACTCTTACTTCTTAAGAAGACTTTAGTTGCAGTCAAGTATCTCCTTTACTTCCCAGTTTGTCCTAGCTCACTCTCTCCTCTCAATATATCTTCTTCACAAAAAAGTAGGGGACTGTCAGAGACATAAAAAGTCAGCAGGCTCAGAGTATGAAATGCTGAGACTAAAGGCAAGAGACGTTGAGTAGTGAAGAGCCAAATGATTTCCATTTCTGATAGTTTTCCATGAAAAGCAAGTCCTTTAAAAATGTCTGTTATATCCCATGCTATCCATTTGACCATAGTGCTGAGGTAATCTGTCATAAAATACATAGTGCTGCTGTACCCAGTAGAAGAGTAAATGCATTTCTCCTCTCCAGTATTTCCATTAGAGTTTGTAAGGAACTGGACAGTAACAGATTTTCATATTATTATGCTGTTCTATATATATGATGCTTTTCTGCAGCCACAAGGATAATGGATTATTTATAGATTGTAGAAACTGTCACTCACTGACCATATTGTATTGTGGAGCATATAGATTCTCCATAATGTAATTACTTTTGGAAAATTGACTTCCGCTTGAAACTCAGAGAAATTTATCTTCATGTGTTAGTGACCTCACTCTGTGAGTGACTGAGTAGCAGCAGATTCCAATATATTTTTCTTACCTTTATTTTTCCCGGTGATTTCTGATCATTTCACATTTTAAAGTGATCAGAATGGCTTGTTTTAAGCCTTAGTAGTCCTTATTCCTGTTGGTAGCAGAAAGCAACTAAACTGCTGATGGAAGTGAAATAGAAAACTATTTTAATATTTTGCATAGGCTTTAAAAGAACGACAACAGCATTGAGAGAAGTGGGGTCCAACTTGCCCAGCATCCTTTCTCCAGCAGAGACTTTACCTGGATGCCTAGGAAAAAGCGACAACAGAGCAGCCATATTACATTAACAAGGCAGAAAAACTATATGTTTTCAAGAGAGATGAGTACACATAAATACTGTCCAGACACAGGTACACATTTACATGAAGTACTCTTACCCAAAATAGTCTCAACAGGCAAGAAAAAAGCATACTTAGATTTTTGTCAAGATGCCTGAATGTTTGTCAAGACTCACTGGTTCCTATTTCAGTTGTTTCCTTCCAGTTTTCTTTCTTACAACAGTCTGGAAGTGGCAAAGGACATGGCAATTTTAGCACATTAGTCTTGCCTCTTTTTAGACTCTGTAGCTTTTACACACCTTGGTTATAACTAATTTTCTGGGGTTTGATTTTGTTTCTTTTTAATGCAGTGCCAGTGGCAGATATAAAAGCTGTTGTGACTGGGAAAGACTGCCCACATATGAAGGAGAAAGGAGCTCTTAAACAAAACAAGGTATAGTTCTCGATTTGTTATGAACATGTAGTGTGCAGAATACAAAGCTTGTCAACTTGACCTTCCCTGAAGTAATAAAGGTATTTTTCATTCCAGCCTGCCATGTTTCCATGTATGCACACACTTTGTTTTCATCTCAGACCATTTGAGTTTAATTATTGGGACACCTTACCCTCCTTTACTCATATTTCATGGCAGGTGTGCACTGTGATACTCTCAGAACAAATTAGTATAGTCTTTAGCAGCAATGTTTTCTACCTCTGAAGCAAAACAGCAATGACTTTTGGTACCTGCTTCTGTATTGTTTCTGATAAATAACTGGTTTGTTCCAGCTGTATTCTCTCATGGGTTCACATTCAGCGAATACATGCCAGAATTGCAATTAATGTCCAGCTGATGATACCTTCAGGTCCAGTCAGGTAGAAAAACAACTGCCAACAAAAGGTTGTAAGGTAAATCCTGGGCAATTAATAAGCCGTGTAAGGATGTGTTTTGCAGTGCATTGGGGAAAAAAACGTGTAGGAGACAATGGTCAGCTTGAATTAGACTTATGCTACCTTTCAGAGTTTCAGGTCAAGAACTATAAGCTGACAGTAGTACTCAAATTGTACAGTGCCGGAATCTTGCGGTTTTTGTTAGTAAGAGTTGTCACCACAGCAAGAAGAAATTGATTTACTTGCAAAGTCCGGCATCATTAGTGGTGAAGGTCTTCATATCATATTGTATGAGGTATGTTCAAAAGTTTTCTATCAGGTTGTGCTCTTTGACCTTACGAGAAGGAGTGAGACTCTCATAGAGTTCAGTCTGACTTAGAATGACACCCTGAAAGGTCTGGGAACCAGATCAGAGGATTTGAATCAGAATTTCTAGTTAGCTGAAACTGGGAAATTTTAGGTCCAACAAAAAAGATATTTTGATGGGCAAAATATGAGGAGTTTCTCGTTCAACACTCTAAGAATAAAATTTGAAAAAACAGTTCTGATGGGAACCATAAAAAAATGAAAACGCACTGTCAAAACTACATCACGCAACTAGTTGCAGCTGCATAGCTGCAACTTTTCTTCCCTTAACTATGCACAGATATGCAGAACATCTTGAGTATTTTTTGCATTTGTTTCTCATACACAGAAGTTGCTTTAAGTCTCTCAGGGTACTGTCATCTCCTTTCAGCATTGGCTTTATATGGTAGGAAATGAAAATGTCATGCCAAGTGAGGGAGAAAATATCGCAGGAGTATTTTTCGTTGTTGATTTTCTGGGCACAAACGCACACACATGAGCACAATAGATTGCATACAACTCCTACCTCTTGTTACAGCTAAACCATCAACAGCATTTGGCTGGGGCATTTATATGATGCATATAGAGTAATTTTAGTGCTTCCTTGTCTTAGCACTTATATGTCCACACAAAGAGGAAAGATGGAAAGCAGTGGGTGGCAGTGATGGAAATGTGTCACCATTATGGAGCAGTAGTGTCTAGATAGTATTTAATGCTAAATAGCAATGCTGCAGATCAGTTTGTTCTTAGCTCTCAGCATCGCCCCATTTCTTCAGGTAAAATTGCTTTGGACTGGTATAAAATTTCTGGCTGAGAATGTGAAGATCTGGAATTGATAGGTAGCATAGATGCATCCGTGACTGGAACATTCTCTTTGTGACCCAGGCAATGATAATTTTGATGGTTTTACTGTTTCTTATGTGGTGCAGGGTTTTTGATGGTTTGGCATTTATTTGTGGGGTTTTTGTTTCCTCAATTCCTTGTTTCTTCCCTATGGAATCACAGAATTTTTGAAATTAGCCGTCATCCCAATCAAATTGTCATGCACAATATTGCAACTACTTAACTGACATGATAGGAATAACTCATCATTGTTTGCTGCATACCAAGTTAATATGGACTATGAAATTAAAACTTAAAAAAAGCCAGACACAGAATGCAATTCAGCTGAACTTTGTGTATGAAACATTTCACTTTCTGAAAATTCACAATTGGTGGTATATGTTTTTAAGAGGCCTTTTCATCCTGTGCTTTCTTTGTACATATGTAACAACCACCTTGATGTTTATTCATTGGCAGAAAAGAAAATTGAATGGCAGAATGCCATGCTATGAGCATAGCTGGAATTGGCAGAATGTCCATAACAAAGGCTTCAGCATCTCTTCATTTGCCAGCACATGGCTGTTATTCTTCCAGTGGGACGATTTAGAAATAAATAAGAGTTAAACTGAATTGGAATTTGCATGCATATGAAGCTAGAATGACTCAATAGGACCAGACCTGAATCCATTGCTGTTCATCTTGCTTGTGTTTTTAAATTAGGTTTAATGTTGAAGTCCCCATTTCTGACTGTCAAGTAATATTAATTAATTTCAAGGAAATGAAATAGATTAGATTTTGCAGCCTTCAAAAGAAAGCATGAGAGAAGAATTTAGAAAAAACATAGCCATGTATTTCAAAGTGTTTTTCTATCACCCTTTATCTGCTGATGTGGCCGGATTCAGGCTTTGTGCCTTTTCAGTCAGCTGAAATGGTTCTGCACAATTCCCTGTTGAATGAAGCTTCTCCTCTCTTTTATTTCATGTTGATTGAACAAGTTCCCTGCTGCTGCCTGTCTAGATAGTTCTTGGGGTCGGATCTTCTGACTGTGGCAAGCAAACTCAACATAGCAAGGTCTCAGCCTTCAGTAAAGACATGGGCAGTTTGAGGCTGTTGAAGACAGAGTAGGCAGAAAGTAGTGAGATATTTCCAGCTGCATGGGAACACAGCCATAGACAGCTAAAATGCCTGTTCATGAAAAATAGCTTCTCTCTGGCCCATGTTGGGAGCCAGCAGAGACCAGGGGAATGAGAAGTTCTAGGCATGGGAGAGCAACCTTCCCTTCTAACCACCTACAACAGCTTTCCCCACAGAGCTGAAACCAAGGAGAGGCTGCCAGGTCTCCTGGTTTCCTGTTTTCAGTGAAGCGCAAAAGAGAGGCACATCATGGATCCCAATACTGGTACCTTTGAGAAGCCTTTAGGGAAGGGCAGTGGCCTGACTTGTGCAAAGGTGGAAAGAGTTAGGAGTGCCAAGGGACAAAGTTCAGCACATTGAGATGGGGGAGCAGGAAAGCAAAACAAAGAGGGGAGGAACATGTTGGAGGCAGTATGAGAGAAAAAAGATCAGAGACAAAGATAAATTGGTGGGAAATTACTTTGGGAAAGATTGAGAAGTAGAACAGAAAAGGGAAGAGAAGACTACAGATGGCTGATGGACACTGACCAGTGTACCCTTAGGAATTGCCAGTTCTTCACTGTCATTAATGGAAATGTAACAAAACCAGGTGAGGGTCCCCGATAAGCTCAACCACTGAGACCACAATCAGTGTGAAGGGCCAGTTGGCAACTCCAGCTCCTTAGGCTTCCATTTTACTTGACAATTTGCTGTGCATGAGGCAACAGAGACTCTGACACCTGGAAGCTGTAATTCCCAAGCCTTTAGCATCCAGAGCAGCCAGCAAAGAAGCTGAACTATTGCCAGGGCTGCCAAACTCACAGTTTTCCCCAGAAAGGGAATCTTGGTGGCATAAATCTAGCCCTTTCTCATTCTCTGCCTGACTGGAAATGACCAAACCCTTGGCTCCCTGACATGTTCCTCTTGCAAAAGTATTTTTTTCTCCTTTTCCTTTCTTTGAGGTGAAGAAGAAGTTAAATTCCTTGGAATTTCCCAAAGGACACATATACAGTGGTCAGACCTATGGGATTGTTGACCTTCATGAAATTCAGGAACACCACAGTGTAGCAGTACAAGCCCCTTCTTCTGTGCTACATTTCATTTTCACAACCTCAGTTGCATGACTTGGCGTGTTCTGTCAGTAATTTATAACACTCTGTGAGGATATATTGACAGGTTCATGTGGGCAGAGGTAGATTTGTTTCTGTAATGAGGGACATCATTCTTAATAAGGTGTGGCTGAGAGACGTGCCTAAAACACAAAAAGGCTATGTAAGCCGTGAGCCATTTGTTTCCTGAGTGCTCCAACACTATCAGTATGTGCAATTTCTGTGGGGATTTAACACAGCCTTGTCTTCTGTGGCATGGGAATACAATAAGTTGAACCTATGAACTAAACTCAAGGAAACCAAGAACATTTCCTATGAGAAGCCTGATTTCTTATCATCCAAGATTATCCCTAAGGATTGCAAGTTTTTATGATTCAGACTCTGCTCTTAATCACACAAGTTCAAAACTGAAATAACCCTTACTTGAAATCCAAAGATTTGTGTCTCAGGCCAGGAAATCAGGGGTAGAAAAGCTAAAACAGTGTTATATTCTGTAGTCTCTGCATACAGTTCTTCCATTTTAAAACTTAGTGTAAATTTAAGAATGCAAATTTAAGAAGCCATTCTCTTGTTGCTGCTGGCAGTGTGGGGACTGTTGTCAGCTGCGAGTCAGCAAAAGCCATCAATATGACAAGTCTCAGGAAGCCAGGAGGCAAAAAGAACAGGACAAGTGATACAGATCATAGTTACGAGTCAGCACTCTCCTCTGTAGCCGGGTCTTTTTTCCACAGAGTTAATATATCCCTATCAGCTAGCTTGAGAAATCCTTGTAGTGGCACTTGTAGTGATGCATGCAGTAATCATAATAAGACAACATCTTTACATGCTCCCTGCTGGCCAGTGGAAGTTCATAATTGATTCAGATGGTTGGATTTACCCATAGGAACCCAGATCCAGGTGGCTTTTAGGGTAGGTCAGAGCTCAATGAATTCACTGCCACTTTTTACAATTCCAGCTTCGGTGCTTAGGGGGAAAAAAGATGATTGTTTTTTCCTTTCCCGAAATTCATTTGGGTCTTTACATAACCTAGATAGTTTGGTTTGACTGAGGCTGCTGATTCTGGTTCAGATAGAAACAAAATTGCAGAAATCTCCTGAGAGTGAATAATTTAATAGATTTCCAGCAGTGAAAAGAACGTAAGTATGTACCTGGATATTAACTGTCCTGGCAAGATTTTTGACAACCTTGCAGAACTTTGTGAGTTTGATCTGTATAAATTGAAAAAAATGTGGGTCTTCAGGAAGAGTTTGTTCCAAGTGTACTATTATGCATTATATTGATTTTAGTCCTCACCACTGCCTAGCTCAAATTTAAACTCGAATTCTAAAGTAATCCGTGTCCAAGTGAGATACAGTCAGCACTGAGGTGGGTGAGTTTGTTTTTGACTGAAGCATCTGTGGTGGGGTTTTTGCTGTGCCAGTCTGTTGCAGTGCCCTAGTACTGCTGCAGCTTTGGCCAGACTGTAGAGTGCCATAACCTATTTTTCAACTTGTTTTGAGGAATAAGGGATAGGAAAGAAAGACAGACCTGAATGTATGAATAACTCTCTCATTAAGCATTAATATGTGTCTCTTTGTATTCTTCCAGGAGGTGCTAGAGCTTGCTTTCTCTATATTGTATGACTCAAGTGGCCAGTTGAATTTCATTGCTCCAGATAAGCACGAGGTAAGTCAGGTTCAGAGTACAGAAATTTCTTTGAAGTCATCTTTGTTGCTTTATGGCAACACTCAGCTTTGTAAGAACATGGAATGGAAATCTTGTTCCAGAGTACAGGTCCATCTAAATCACTGTCATGTCTCAAAACAAACTGAAAGCCAAGAGATTAGTGTGGGAACAAGATCTTCTGCAATTTTTTTGCATATCTGAGCCACAGAAGGAACATGCTTTATCTTTGCCCACCATGGAGCACGTGGGCTTCTAATCAAAGATCAGTGTTTTTAAGCCCTCCTGAAATATGAGTGAAAAGTAAGAGAAAGAAGAGAGCTTGGGCAGACCTCATAGTTCCACAGACCTTGCTCACCGTTTCCTAATGCAATGGATTTATCTTGGTCTGCTCCACTTTAGACATTAGAGAATTTTGCTGTGTGTTCAGTTGAGTGAACTTTAGTTCAAGACTGAGGATTTGTACGGCCAAGCTCTTAAAGAACCACTGCCAGCCTCAGCTCATTTTGACAATGCCAGCATAACCAGGGGAGGTTTTGCCATCGTTGGGTCTCAATTTCAGCCAAAGACTTTTGTTTTCCAGAATGACATATCCCCTTACTCTTAGTTTCACTTTGTTCAAGACCATTCATGACAGGTGATCATAGAAGGCCCTCTCTATTCCATCTCCACAGGGGAGTGTTTTGCAATGGCTCTCACTTTTACAAAAAGAATTGTAAATACCAATAGCAAGGATGAATGACAGTCCCTTCCCTGCTCCTTTCTCTTACTAAAAAAAAACCCAAAAGGAAATAGACAATATCATTGACTTTTGGAAGGTCATGGGATTAATTTACCTAATGGTGTGGAAGCGTTTGATATGTTTCTTACAAAGAACGTCCAACTAAAGGTTTAGCAGAAGGAACTATATTTAAAAAGAAATGTATTTCCTTCTTATTTCTAAAGCAAGAAGAGTTGGTGTTCCATTTGCACGCTTATTTTGTGATACCACATTTGGTCTCAGTTCAGGACACTGTGTTAAGATGATGAACTACAGAAGTTTGCATTAAACTGCATTATACTGTAGCATTAATAAAGTGCATGAAATTGCTTTACAAGTGAAGTGTATGTGTTTATGTAGCTTCAGCATTTGCAGTTCTGGACTAAAACCTTCAAATAATTGTTAACTTTGGGAGAGGAGATATGGTTGTGCTCATTTGGGTTTTCCTGTGGATTAATATTTGAGTGTCATTTTGAAGTATGTTTATTGCAGAGGAGTATTTGCTGGTCGGTTTTCATGTACGATAAAGCAGCAATAGGATCCCAGGCACAATGTGCCACTAGGGCTGTAGGTCTAAGAAAAGCATGATTGTCTTCATCCTCGGAACTGGGCATATGTTAAATGATTTCTGATATAAATTCTCCAGAAACTGAATTCTAGACTGTGTCAGCTCATAAGAGCAAATGGTCATGAAAATCAACAGTTCTCTCAGCTACTGTATCTCAAATATAGTCTATAACTACAGGTGGATTGCATTGGTCTGAATGTTCAAAAATTGCTACTGCACCCCACTGACAGGCAGTAGCAGTGAGATGCACTAACCTAATTGCTTGTGATTGTGTTAACACACCTATTATCTTTATTTCTCTTTTGATCTTGTGCAGCTTCTTTGAAACAAGATTAATATATATCTTCCAAAAAAATGGCCAGAGGCAGCTGTCTCTGCTGCCACTTGACAGTTCCCAAATTAAAGTTTTTTAAAGGACATCTCACGTCCTCTCTGCTTTCCCATGGCCTGCAGAACAGTGAGTTGTGATTAAAGTAGAAAGTATGAGTGTTCAGAGGAATCACCCATAAGGAAAGACAAGCAGCATGTTACAAAGACCATGACTCTTCTTCCAAGTAACTGGGGTGCCTGTTGATAGATGTGCTTGTTTAGCAGCATTGTCAACTTGAGGGATTTGGTGGTGACATCTCAAAATTTGGAAAGCTTTGCATAAAGCACCAGGAATGATGTTAGTGCATGACAATTTCAGGTCAGACTTGCAGGAGTTTTTCCAGTTCTTTTTCAGTCCTCGTGACTGTAGAGTGAGGTTGGAATGTGGAAATTGAGTGTGTCCTAAAAAGAAAAATTGAACTAGAATCACAGGATAATTCTGGTTGTAAAGGACCTTGGAGATGTCCCCAGTCTGACCTCCTGCTCAAAGCAGGTCAACAATGAGCTCAGACCAGGTTGCTTAGGGCTTCATCCAGATGGATGAAGCCTGCACAACCTTTCTTATTCCACTGTCTTGACTCCCAAGGCAATTCTTTAATAAAATCTTATTACTGAACCAGTATCATTGAGATTTGGACCTCATTCTTGCACATTTAAGCTTGGCAATTCCCTTAGCCATCTGTTAGAGCTTACTGCTAGCCAGAGGATTCAGTGCTATGAGATCACTCCATTGTATTTGTTTTTAATTTAAATACTAATAACTGGTTTCAACTACATAGCAAAAAAAGGTGGATTAATCTTATCCTTGATTTTTGACAGAGAAACTGATGAGTGAGGCCATAATTAGGTTTTATTGGAGTTTTATGAAAATGAATCTCTTGTAAATTAATTTTTCAGCGGCTCTTAGTCTCTTTTGCATATTAAAAAGAAAAAAAAAGCTTCCAAATGAATGCCTCTGTTTTTCCACCATCTCATTAGGATGTCTCTCTGCTCAAAATGTACAGGAGTTTAATTAGATGCACTTGCCAATATGTAGATTAGAGAGGAAGCCCCTTTTCCAGGCCATTGCACTCATCTGAATTGTGGCCAGAATTTGGTTTCTCTGGGCCCCGAATGAGTTATATCTGGAAGAGGAGAGGACTGCAGTTCTGCTTTCTGGCTCTCTGGGATTCCTCCCCAGAGAAAGAGCTGGCCATATTCGCAGAGCAGGTGATGGACGATTTACATCAGGGGTTGCATCTGTTGAATGGATGCTCTGCACTTCTGTAACCTGTGCAGAGCCTTTTGCTTTTCTGTTCTTTTCCCCATAATGAATTTGGGGAAAACTTTCCCAAAGAAAGATTTCAAGTCAATCATAAAAGATTATAGTCTGTTCAAAAATAATTACATTTCTAGGATAGCTTCTTTCTTTTCCTGATGTTCTGCATATACTCTACAGAAATTGCATGCTTTAAAAGTCTTCAGTGACACACTTTGACAGCCTAGAATAGGCAGGCTAAGTTGTTTATTTTGTTACTTGCTAGCAGGACAGCCTGAACTCTAAAGTCTCTTCTATATAGCTGATCTCGTGTTAAAGCTGCAGCTTGGCTTGGTGACACCCTGGGTGAAATCCTCACTCTGCTGCTGTTTTGCTACTGACTTAAATGGTTTGGATTTCACTTTGGATGCTAAAGTGTGTTAACCCATCCTATTTTTAAAATATGCCCTTTTTCTGGATGAAGGCATACCCCAAGAGGGGGGTTTCTCTCTCTTCCTCAAAAATAATCCTTATTTCTGCTGTGGGATGAAGTCAACCATGGCTATCTTTAAACTTGGCAGTATCATGTAGCAAATGGTCAGCTAAATTTAAAATCCATTTTTTAGCATGAAATCTAGGAGAAGTATTTGTAAGATAAAAATGTGGTTACAGTTGATTTAATTTTTCTCCTGCAAACTAGGACACAAGTTCATGATTGAAATCTCTATTTTTAGATGACAGCATTTGAGGACTTCTGTTCATAGTTGAATAAATGGCTTGTAGTAATAAATGCAAGTGACTTATTCAATGGAAGTTGACTCTAGATCACCAATCTCCCTTGGGTTTATGGCTTATTTTAAATGGTTATTCTGCCCACATTTATCACAAGCTGTCAGCTGTTGGGAAAGATGGCATCTCCTATTAGGAAAAAGCTAGCAGTAAGGAAGAGGTTTTAGAGGCCAGGTCAGCATTTGCAGCATTTAGTGCTATACCCAAGCAGCTCAGCGTTTAATTTTCATGAAGGGTATAGCATTAACTCACTCTAGTTTTCACAATATGTTATTCAATGTAACATAGTGGAAAAGTAGGCATAGGGAGGTGAGGCTATCTTTGTGTAGGTCAACTGATGCCACTTAATCTATAGGAAAGAAACCCATGATAAAACAAGATAGTTAGTACAGGATTTTTTACACAAAGAGTTGAGAAGGATTTGGGGGTAGCATTCGGTTCACTTAACTTAAGTGTCTTGGAATTAAAAGTTTCGTTTGTGGGAGATAATCAGTCTTTCTTTATAAGTACTGGGGAAAGAGAATGAGAGGAGTAGAGGAGATTTCTCCAGAGGTGCATTGTCCTTAGGTATTGTTCTTTCTCCCATAACTGTCGAAGAATATTCAACAAGAAGTTTGGAGGAGGTAGCTAATTGTTAAACAACTCATTTCTTCATATTTTTAGGGGATTGTTTTTCCATTTTCTGAGCAGCTCAGTGGAACATGTCTTCTTCATTATATGATCTAATAAAATGTATCAACCTCATTTTAGGTATCTTTGAAAGTCCCTCTGGGAACAGTAACTGTCGAGGACCAGACCAGACAGGCAGTTTTGTGTAAGAAAAGTCTATTGATGACTGTTTTTATCTTTTTCCTGTGCAGTATTGTGTATGGACCGATGGGCTGAACGCCCTCCTTGGGAAGGATATGTTGAGTGAACTAACACGGAACGACTTAGACACGCTGCTCAGCATGGAGATAAAGCTACGCCTCCTTGACTTGGAAAACATACAGATACCAGATGCTCCCCCACCTATCCCAAAGGAGCCCAGCAACTACGACTTTGTTTATGACTGTAACTGAGGCTGTCACTGAAACTTGCTTTGAAACTGGAAATATAATATTATAACTGGAGAGATATTAAAAAAAAAAGAAGAGTGTGAGGAAAAAAAGAAACCCACTTTTGCACCTTGGATTTTGGCTTTGGGGAGGGATGTAGAAACACTTGCATTCCTCCGTGTCCCCTGCATCCCTCCCTGTCCCCTGCATCCCTTCCTTCCTCATTCCCATCTTCCCCATTGCTCATCCAAATCCACATTGCTTTAATTAACTTGTAATTGCAGGCCATTGGCCTTGCTTAAGGCAAAGACTGCCACTAAGAAGCACCCTCCCAAGGACTTTTTTTACATTTTTAATACTGGAACAGACATTCTTAACTAAAGGACATGTTATCAAACTGCATGCCTGTGAAACCCACTCGGCAGGGCAGAGGCTTTAACTGGAAGGAGGAGGGAGGTAGGGAGCAGAAGCAGCTACTGTAAGCAGAAGATTTCCCCAGACACTCACAAGAGTCTGCTCACAACTGAATCCAATGTGATGTTGAAATTCGTTAACTGCTTCCCAGTGCTTGCACCATTCGTCACTGTCATTATTCTTTCCACCATCATCTCGACTCTTGCCACCAGCCTTCACCCAACTGATCGGCTCCCAGAATGGAAAGTCTGCAGGGTTTTGCTGTACCATACGCTGCAATGCTGCAACAGCTTTTAACTTCTTTTCCTCCCAGCCCTTACAATAGCCCCACACTAGCAGATCACTCGCACAAACTGTGTATGAAGCCACTAGTGTGTCCCACCCCTGTAGCGTTCCCTAAGCCTCAGTTGCCTCTAAAATTGGCTTGTTGCTCTTTGAAGTGATTTTTATTTTCTTGGTCCAAAGTTCAACAGTAAATTTCACAAATTAATTACAACTGCCAAACATCCAGGTTTACATCATTGTCATCGCTACAGTGTTAGAAATTTGCAAGGGATTTTTTTTGTACGGGTTCTAATTTTTTTATTTTATTTTGCCAAACAAATATATTTAATGAAAATTAATTTCATTGTGAGTACTTTCGGGGAACAATATTTTTACTTAATTTCCATTTGGAACATTTTCCCTGAAGGGAAAAAATGATGTGTCCCTTCAACTTCACTGTTGAATAAAAATCTGAGTTGTGATGATTCTTGGAACTTTGTTTTTCTTCTGAAGTTGTCTTTTATTCTTTATGGTTCCTAGCAATTCTGAAGTGTTTGGTACAAAGAGGAGATGGAAAAGTGGAATCTTTGTTATCTGCATCTGATTTAATTTTCTTGTTTCTTTGTGGTGACAAGGCTGAGATGTATCCAGAGATCTCCATTGCTATGGTTACATGAGCCTTCCTGTGAGAAGGACCCTTGTGAAATCGAAAATCCCAGCAGACTGATGTGCTCATGGTCAATTCAAGGCTACTGCCTTTCCTGTGTTTGCTGTCTTCCTGTATTTCCATTTCCTCTGTTGAGAGTATGTGTGTTTATGGCTACAGTGGATTGGTATTAGGAAAGTTTGGGCTTTGCAGGATGGATTCCCTTTCTCATGTTTTTCTAGGTATTTCATCAAGTTCAGTATCTCTTACTCCAAAAGTGCTGGGTCT